GTGGAGGTTGACTCTCGGAAGGATTGATTGGGACCTCGCTCGTACCGACTGAAACCTAAACAAATGCCACATCTTAATCGAGCATCAATCCAATGAAAAACTTGACTAGATCAGTAAATTTTAATCTATAAATTTTTAATCCGATAGATACTTACTTGCATGATAGGTGAACTAACGTCTTTTCTTTTCTTGTGACAAATTTTTAACAACAATGTTTCCACTTTGACGGGATCCTGCGATACTTCGGCTACAATTGTACATCACAATCTTAAGTCAGAGTTTTCTAGATATATAAAAAAAAAAGTTGCATAATCAAAATTTACCTCTTTTGTCATAAAATCCTAAAAATGTAAGAGTCATGTATCCGCGAACACCGAGATTCTGTTCATGCTTCTTTTTTGCTATTAATTTATCCAGAATCGTATCGACCTTAAACCCTCGCCGTGATTTGTGACTTCTGGACATACGTTGCCGCATATATGTTAAATTTCTATATAGAAATATTGGCTAAAAAGAAACGTTAAATTTTAATGTACATCCATCGCCCAGGGAAAATTAGTAGTGCTCCTCAAATAATTTAAATTTTTATAATATAACTTATATTTATATTTTATACCTACCATGCTACAAAAATTTTACAGAAATTTTGAAAAGCATATAAAAGTATAAAATTAAGATTGAAGCAATATAATCAACCCAAAGGAACATTTATTAACTTACCTTTATTAAATGCTTCATATCGTTACGATTATTTACATTCGTATATATGGATACGTTTTTTTATAAACTTTTAATACACCATATTTTTTAAATTATACACATGTATAACAAACCAACAAATAAAATATAATTAACGCTTTGAGGGCAATGCAAATCAAAATCATAAGCAAACCGAGGATAAAAAGAAAATATTATTTACTCACTGAAATTTGATTTCTTGTGCGAAGGAACCGGTAAATCTGCGTTGGTTCTGAAAAAATGAAATATATAAGTCACATATTGAAAAATTAAATTAATAAGATGTTAAATCAATATTTATTAACCAGTAAGTTAAAATAATAATTACGTAATATGTAAAATTACAGTCTAGTGGAGACAATTTATTATCATTATGATAAAAAATTCTAGCAACTAAAACTATTCTCTCCTTTTTTGTCATTTTTGTTCACTAATTTTTACATTAACATGCACTATTTTTATATATGTATAAAAATAGCTTTTGTAATATAAATTAATTTAAAAAACATGTTATTTACAAATAAATTTTTTAATTTATTATACGTTTGAATTTTGATATATTAAATATTAGAATAACTTAAATAACAAACAAAAAGGAAAATTGTTACATAATTGACAAGTATGATTATAAACATAAATCATAAAAAATAATTAAAATTATAAAATAATTTACTCATATCAAAATAAATAATGAAAAGGCTCTATATGTATAAAACAATACAAATATAAGAAGGGTAAAGAGCCAAGTAAATCAACAAAATAATTCAATTATTTAAAATTTAAACAACGCTTTAATCATATCAAATTAATAATATCTACTTTCTTAATTTTGCAAAAAATAATCGTGCTATGTAACTTAACAGTTTCACATTTGCTTTTCCTAGAAATTAAATCTTATTCATGTGTGTTAATACGGAATAAACTCCCTAGGTGGCCTTAAGAGCGATCCACTTTCTCGCGTTTAAAATACATCTTGTAGGATTTAAAAGCAGTTCCGACCAATGCAACAAACGATCCTTCAATCAGGTATCAAAATGGGAGATGATGAATGGGTTCACTCAAATTTGTTTGAGACGCCTGCACCCTACTTGTTACGACGAAAGCAGGTTAAACCCCTCTGATCCCACATTTTTTTCATCTTCATGAAACCTAACAGTTCGAAACTCGGGGAATTTCTTACATCGTTCGTAAAAGCTAAGGAACGTTTAGGTTTACGTATGTATGTATTTTATTTAGGATAAAATCAGACTTCTAGCTTTGCAAAGGCTGTTCCCGTTGCGATTTAGCTCAGTTGAGCTGCTGATTTTGAGTTCTTCAAATTGGATACTCGAATTCACCGAAGTTTTGGAAGATTTATTGATTCAACTGATTTTGATTAAGCCATGACCTGCCTAAACAAGTCGAAAATTAAAGGGAAAAAAACTGAAACGTGTGTAAAATAAATTGAAAAAAGCAAACGAGCAGTCTGCACATCTTTATTCGTCAAATCCCGTCTTTATTATTCCGACCGATTCTAACAAGATATTTAATTCGTGTCGAGCAGTCTGAATTAATCTGCTTCTCCGTGTAAACCGTGTAAAAAAAAAAAAGCAGTGTTTCATTCTTTTTTCTTCACATACATTTTCCGCTGGCATTTAAGGATGTACCTTCGAAATACTTTGGAGGAGGAAATCGCGACGTCGGGAATCGCTCGGGGTCTGTTTCGCAATAGGAAGCGAGGCACGGATGACAGGTGTCCGCGCGTTTGGAAACGGTGGAGAGTGCGGAAAAGAGAGAAAACCGACGCTCGCCACGGCGGGCGCTCCAGTTGACTCGTCGCGGATAGGGTTAGGTCCGGTCGTCGCGACGGCGACAGCGGCAACGAGATAACGGCGGCGGAGGGGAAGAGGGGCGTCGCGCGCCCTCCGCGACAGGGGTCGTCTGAGGAGGTATCGATGTAGGGGGTGACCGGCAAAAGAAGTCGTGGAGCTTTTATCGCGATGAAACGACGCGCGTCACCACCGATAGGCGGCAAAGAGCCAAAGATAGGTAAGGGCCACACGGGGCGAAAGACCGAGAGAGAGAGAGATGTGTTTTTTTTTTCTCTTACTTTCAAAGGCCTGCAGAAAGAGCTCGTGGTCGGCCTGAATCTGGTCCATCCGAGGTCCCTTCTGCCCATCGAGATCCTTATCCCGTTTCTTCGGCGGCATTTTCGCGCGGTCCTCCGTGCACGACAAGCTTCCCCCCGCGGTAACTTCAACTTCTCTCCACTTCTCTCTCTTAGTCGCGCGAAAGTTGCGACGCGACAACGACAACACCCGCCCCGCGCGAAAACTGCGGCGCTCCGGCGGCCTCCACGGCGATTGGCGCGTCCTCTCGCGGCGCGCCATGTATCTCGTGGACGCATCATCGTGAAGTTGGTGGCGCTGAGATGGACGGACGTTGCGCGCGGGATACGAGAAAGCTCGCGATTAATCGCTAGTGGGTATCGATAATAAGTCTGTTCGCGTTGCTTGTACTTTATGCACTTACAATAACATTAGGTCTGTTCGCGTTGCTTGCACTTTATGCACTTACAATAACATTAGGTCTGTTCGCGTTGCTTGCACTTTTTGCACTTACCATCTTCGCTTTCTTTCTTTTTAAAGCCGAATATACATCTATCTCACTTTAAGTGCAAAATTATTTGGGGATTTCATGCAACGCGAACAGATCTATTCTCGCTCTTTTTCAACATGCCTAATCAGAGCAAAGCAGTCACCGATTGTTTTGTTCCGATTGGTTGAGAAATAATCCGCAATCGTCAATCACAATCGCGCAATCGCTAGTGTGATTACGGCTTAAGGCTGGAGTCCCATGATACGGAAATTACACCGGAACGGAACAGTGAGACCAATCACAATCGCCGAAAGGAAAGTAGAGTAATGATTGCAGAGATCTGATTGGTCTCACTGTTCCGTTCCGGTATAATTTCCGTATCATGGGACAGCACCCTGATTGTACCAACGTCATTTCGATTTTGAGCGAAACTTAGACTGCTTCGTCTCTCTTTCGACTTTAATACGAGATAGATAGAGTTTTAAGTTTTAAGTCTCGCTTAAAATCAAGTAATATTGGTGCAACCAGGCCTAAAAATAACGTTTATTTCATTTTAAGTTTATTTTGGGAGAAACATTTTATTAAGGCACTAGAGATGTAGGTATTCCTATCCGCCATTTTGGATCCACTTGACAGATAGGTTATATTACGATTAGTACGTGGTGACAATAGGTCTGTTCGCGTTGCATGAAATCCCCAAATAATTTTGCACTTAAAGTGAGATAGATGTATATTCGGCTTTAAAAAGAAAGAAAGCGAAGATGGTAAGTGCAAAAAGTGCAAGCAACGCGAACAGACCTAATGTAAATGTATCAAAAATTAAAATAAATTGCCGTTGAGAGCCAACACAGGATGAAGGTGTGTAGTAAAATTTATTTACATATAATTTAGTTACATATAATTGCAAATTGCATACGTTTCGACCTTAATCCAGGTCCTTTTCAATGCATGAATTTTTCACCTCTAGTGCCTTAATTTTATACATCGCGAACAAACCAATTAATTCTTTAGAAAAAATCGGCTAGCTAGCAGTTTCTTTTTAATTGATCAAGAAATACCAACGCAATCTCCAATTGCTAGTGTGATACGGCCATAAGGTGTAGTTTTGCGCTTATTTAATTGCTATAGCCAATCATTTTAATCTGCATTTTTCGCCAAATTTTATTTCAATACACCTGCTATGACAATAACTTAAGGGCGGTCGAGTTGCCACTACAAATGCTTTGAAGCGTTTCTTGATTGGTCAATTTGTAAAATTCTTTCTTTTGATTGGTCAATCAAACGCAGTTGCTGCTGCAGCGTGCTGCGCATGAAAAAGCACCTTTAGTTGCACGCATAATGAATAATTAATACTCTATTTGTAATTACTTACTATAACTAAATAAATAAAGAAAAAAACAGTCCTTTTTTTCTTCTTAATTTTATTTACTATAACTTATTATTTGTTTATTTTACTTTATTTGTATTAGAACTTGATCATATTTTTTGTAATACTTCAAATCATATGACAAGCGCGCGAGTTGTATATGTTGTTTTAAAATGGCGGAAAATAAAGTCAGCGCGTTGCTATGCGAGCACACCCTTGTCTTCTTTCATCATAGCAGTACTTTTATCATGGCGAATTCACATGTGTTGTTCAGGGTTGTATTGTTATCAGTGCTATCAGTCTTTTCTTTTATGCAGGATTGAGCCAACATGTCCGCGTTCGGAGTAATCGTGTAAACGTAGAGAGGACCACTTCGCGCGTATTTGATTTTTGAGAGGGCAAAATTGTACGATTATATATTTCGGATCGATACAAATCGTACCCCAAACGAAAGTTCCTTGAATCTTGGAAAGTGATAGCAAACGTGTGTTGTGAGTTAGAATGACCGAGGAAGCGCAACAATCCGAAAGTGCTGCGCAAAACGACAGCTGTTCTGTTCAGAACGACTCGCAGAACAATTCGTCAGATGTTGGAAAAGCCAAAGATAACAAGAAAGAAAAATGTCGGCCCATAACGAAGGTTTGTCTGGATCAATATAATAAATGTGAACTGTTTACTCCACAATCTTTTATTGGCTCTTCCGATGGTTTTGAACCAACTGTACGAAACATGACATAGGTTATGCTAAATAATAACAAGGAATAGAACCGGCTGGATGTTATTGATTTAAATGAAATTAAAAAATTATTGTATATGTACTCTATAAGTATCCTTTGAACCAAGATCTAACTTCTTTATATAAGACTTCCTAATCTAATTCTTTAATTAACACATGTATCCATTGATGTTTGCAAGCAGGAGCCAGGGGATGTTTGCACTCTTCCTAAATTTGAGCAAGCCAGACACAAATTATGAAAATCATTTTTACAATGAAACTTTAGGCTTAACATCCCATTCAATGTTCACACGTCATTTGTAAAAATTTTTTGCAGAAGATCTGTAAAGGCTGGCTTTAATATAAATATTTTAACTTAAATAATCTTTTGTATGAAAATATAAATTTTTGCTCTTTCTGACTGAAATCCTAGATACATTTATGTGTCCTAGATTGCCACTTTTCCAGGTTTGGTCAAACTCTAATTTTTTGAATAAAGTATTAACTGAAATTCTCTTTAATTTTGAAAAAGGTATATCCAGCAACAGATTTGATCTTGTTTATCTTTTATTTCTTTAAAGACAACAATTATGTTAAATATTTCTATTTTTTCATTTTTGTTTGAAAATTGACCTTTGATAGAAAATTAGTCAGGAAATTACAACCAAGCAGATATATTACTATAAAAAGTTATATACATGAGATAATTATTACTATCAGGTATATTGTTAATGATATTATACATGGCCTGAACAAACACTCATGCAACACAAAAGATATCAAAAGGATTTAAATTAAAAAATTTTAATTATTAATAAATTGTAGAACAACTAATAAGATAATTAATAATCGTGACTTTTAATTGGAATATAAATAATACTCTAGATGATCATTTATACAAAAAATTTAAATAGATTATTCCATATTGCTACATTATTCATATACGAGTAACACTTAGTTTCATAAAAAGCTCAGGAAATTAAATATGCATATGTTACTTACTTTAAACAAATGTTATTGTATAAACAAATGTTTTTATATTGCATTTCAATCCAGAATTATCTTCTATGTTTTAAACAAATATTTTTTAATATAGCAAAATAAATAATATATTGTTGACTGTTACTATATATATGTACATAGTAATTATTATATAAATTATATTATTGATGAGTATTAGGTGGTGATCAGAAGACTACCTCCAACAATGACTCAGGATCAATTCTTAGAGCAAGTTTCACCATTGCCGGAACATGAATATTTGTACTTTGTGAAGGCAGACATGTCCCTTGGCCAGTTCTCATTTTCTCGTGCTTATATTAATTTTGTGGAGCAACAAGACATCTTCATGTTTCGGGAGAAGTTTGACAACTATGTCTTCTTAGATTCGAAAGGGGTGGAATATCCCGCAGTAGTAGAATTTGCACCCTTTCAAAGATTACCAAAGAAACGAGTGGGCAAAAAAAAGGATATCAAATGCGGTACCATCGAAAGTGATTCGTATTATATAAGCTTCTTAGAGAATTTAAAGAATCAAGAAATTGATTCGAGTGTAACTCAATCAAAAACCGAGTATTCTTATCAACCACCAGACAGTGAGTATTTTTCGTTTTATACATATTTCTTGTTCAAGTAAAGAAATGTATATACATTATATACATACATATATAAGGAATAAATAGTTTAAAACACATGAATAAGTAGGATATACGTTAAAAAATTAATTTATTTCAACACGAACATTGAGTTGAAACGAGACTTTCAACTTACAATTATATATTTATATAGTTCCATATTTACCTACATTTAGTTTAACTCGATGGTAAAATACTTCATGTGTGTGTTAATATAAATTTAGTTTTTAAATGTGAATACATCTTATTCACTCATTTTGTATTTATTTATATTTTTATATTATTTTGTAAATACGTGCAATTACTCTTTATTGTGTATATGCATATAAATGAAACGTGTTTTAAAATTATAATGATTGCATTATACACAGATACAGTGAAGAAGATTACTACAACCCCACTGCTCGAGTTCTTAAAACTTCGTAAGCAAGAGAGACAACGTCTTAGGGATGAGAAGCGTGAGGAACGACGACGCAAAGATCCAGACAGACGGAGAACCAAAGATGAGCCTATTATCCCCAAGGTAGAATAATCAAATTGATACATCAAATGGCAACAAATACAGTATGGAATAATATAATTATTATTTTACTTGTATAATTAATTATTCAATTTAATCAAGACAGTTTTATACTGCACTCTTCATTCTGTATTTGTTGATACCATATATTTTTATCTGCAGCATATGCATAACATGGAAGACGAACAATCACCCAACTCTCCTACACCTCATCCTACAAATGTCAAATTTGAAGACATGTTTTTTCAATACTTTATCGAAAACGCAAGTACATATAAATACGAGAAATATAGGGAAGAAATTTTTCTCAATAGATTTCTATACAAACGAACGCAAGAAAAATTGTGTAATACTCATGAAAGATTTTACGAGCACATTAGAAAGACAAAGCCAATTAGAAGCATGTTTGATGTCAAGAAACAATATTTAACTGGCAGTAATCAAGTTAATCGCAAAACTTATTTATGTTTCCACAAAGGCGATCATGTAAGAAAAAGTTCTTCGTTGACAAAAAAGAAAGAACTCGTTTTATTTTTTTTCTCCGTTTAAATTATCTTTAATATCTTAGAATATATATGAGATTCTTTTCATTTATACTAGTAGCCGCGATTTTCTTCCTGATTTTGATCTACAAAAAAGCTGTGGTATAATATTTACGCCGAAAGAATCGGATACTACTTCAAAGTGGCATGTAAAAAGAATGGGCTCAGGAATTTACTTTATGAATTGATCCACTGCTATATCGTGAGATATGCAGAAAAATCGGTGCTGACATTTGACGAGCTGGTTTGGTGATGGTTCTCGAGAAAGGAACGTTTATTGCATATTTGTCGCAATTAACTTTATATTAACGATTTTTTCGAAACTTTATATAATTCCATACATTGTTAATTTGTAATTGTTTTTATTTGTACCTAATTTTTAAAAAGAATTTTTAAAAATGTCTTATTTATATATTTGATAATTGTGTGTTCTATATTTATAAGATAAACTTGCAAACTCTATGAAGAAATGTAATATGTAAAACGACAAAAACTGTAAAATTATAAGAGGCCAATAAGTATATTGAAAGTGATCAGCACCAGATAAATATTGAGGCTTAATTTTCGGGTGAATGCTGACTGTCTCTTCTTTGCTTTGTGTTTTAGGACAAGTCGTTTAGCAAACGGCGACATAAAAATTAAATCAAAATGTTTACCTGATACATTTAAATAACAGCATAGAAAAGTAATAGAATATATGTACAGTTTTTAATTTTTTTATAGGTTTTAAGAAATCCAGACTTAGATAAAGAATCGAGCAAAGATGATAAAGAGAATAAAGAAGAAAGAGATAAACTCTCACCGAAGGAAATGAAAAATAAAAATAAAAGAGACGAGAAAGTAAGAGAGAAATCAATGCGAGATCGAGAAATGAAACCTATCATTAAAGGATATAGAGAGCGAGTTGACGATAGGAATAAAGAAAGAGAAATCAAGCAACGGCGATACGATGAGAAAAAGCCGTATGGTAGACGCGACGAAAGAGAAGATAGAAGGACCGAGTTTCGAGACGATAGAAGGTATGAGATGAAGGAAGACTTTAGGGAATCCAGAGACAGAAAGGTAGAAGAAAGACGCGGAAAAAGTTACGAGAAGATGAGACAAGAAAAGAAAAAGTTGGCGGAAACAAAAAAACAGATTGCCGATGCAAACGGGGATGATACAATTTCCAAGAAAGCGAAGGAGGAGCATGATACTGTACAAGAGAAGGAAAATGGAAACAGCAAAGAATCTGTATATAATGGAGATGATTTAAAGCAGCACTCTAACGACAACGAATGTGAACAACGTAATACTACTGAGGACAGGATAACGATAGACACGATACACAATTGCCAGGACAGTATGGAAAAAGGAAACGGTTCGGTCAATGCAGGTGAAAAAAATTTATTCATATAATTATCATAAAAGAGAATTTACTTCTTCCCTCATTTTTCTTAGCATTATTGATTCCAACATCTTCAGGAACTTAATAACGTCTTTTTATACAAAGCTAGATAGGAGCTACTCTCGTCATAAAATAGGTATATATTTTGACGAATATCTAAGTAATTGGTAACACAATAGGGTCGATTTGTCCGTTAAATAAACGAGGGAGAATCTCTGTGACGAATATTTTTGTAAGAAATATAGCATGATATAACATACGTATTTGTACAGATGTTAACGATGAGGATGATTCTGAAAATAAGGAATCGAAAGTTGTAAAGAGGCGTAATTCTCTCGAAAGTGGCGGTGAAGGCGGTGCAGGTGATGGTAACTGTTTACGGCGTCACAAATCATTAGACGGAGGAGATCAAAGTAATCTCCAGAAGAATGATAACGAGGAAAAAGAGAAGGATAAGAAAGACCCACGAATGGAACGTAGGATACGAAATAAGGTAAATACTACTTTGATGACACTATTTTCTGTACTGAATCTTTTTTCCTCAATATGAAAGTATTGCAGCCTGTCAGTTTTAATTTTTTTATTTTGTTATTTTTTTATTGTAATTTTTAATACTTTCTCAAACATGGAATTCCGTATCCATTTTTAAATTATTTCTTTGATGATCCTCTTAAATTCCTTTATTTATATTTTTTCTATCATATATTGTTTACGAAACAATCATTTCCTAGATAGAAAACTGATGTTACTTGTCATTTTGATGTTATAAAATGGCAGTTAATGTCAAAATAATAATGTCAACTTGCTATCTGAGTTAAGAGTGTTTACTCATAAAGTTAATACATATGTATATTTTTTCATGCATATTAATACACTTATTTGTGAAAAAAATCTTTATTGACTATTCAATTGATTGTAGGATCGCCCGGCAATGGAGATTTATAGACCTGGCATGGGCAAGTTTAGTAAGCAACGGCTGGAACGGGAGAAATCAAACGATGAACGGGCATCATTATCGCAGAGTCCCACACCAAATCCTAGTGTCTCTTCTGCGACAGGCAAGCCTGGAAAAGTTGGTGCCACTGAAGTACGCTCGATGACATTCAAACGCAGCGTCACTCGCGACGCAGCGTAACGGATTCTCATTTTCAGGTCTTATCACTTGGACATACTCCATCAACAAACTCACAGATGACAGATTGACTTCTGCGCGCAGCAGATTTAAACGCCATGTATAATTTTCCTCGGTGTGCTGATAAAACATATCGCTATCTTTGCCGTGTGTTAAAGTGTTAGTTCTAATAAACATTTCACGCACAGTCTGATTATATCATACATTTCGCAAGTATCCTTTTTTAGGCGTAATTTTATTACTGTAATATTAAAGAATTAATAAATAAGTTTAATGTACTTTTTGTTATAAATATATATTCAGAACATTTTTATAACGATTTCAACCTATCAGCAATTGGATACACCAGAATAAAGAGTGCAGCCTCCATTCCTTCCTAGATGTACACATCCTAGGCTATCTTCAGATTTGGTGTACTCACGAATGTTAAAAAAAATAATCCTAAGGGGCACTCACATTTTGCTGCACGGCAAGCGTTTCCGCATCCAATGTATAAAAGCCCGGATCTAAAATAGGTTTTTAAACCTTATAAGCCATAAGGAATGAACGAATCATAGTCGATTATTCTCCTCGAATTTGACTGTAATTGGTCAATTTTTTACGGCTTAAAGCCCGATCTATAATTACGTAAACGTAGTTGTAAGAATTGACTAATCGCAGTTTAATACGAGGAGAATATTCGACTGTCATTGGTCAATTCAATTCTTATAACTAAAACTACGTTTATGCAATTGTAGATGGGCTTAAAACCTATTCTACAGACCGTAAACCACAAAAATTGACCAATCGTAATCGATTATTCTCCTCGTATTCGATTATGAGTGGTCAATTTTTATGGCTTACGATCATTGGTCTAGTTTCCACCGAAGCATTAATTCGCACCTAATGCGGCGTAGAACCAAATTTAACTCGATGGAAATACGTTTTGACTCTGCTCATTTCACTTCCACTTCGATCCACAACTTCTACCAGAGTGGCAGCGAATTGACATTAAATTTTAGTCGGTGGAAACGACTGAAATAGATTAAAAGTAAATATCGCCAATCTTTCCATTATTCGTTAAAAGGTTAAAAGTATAAGCCGTTCAAAAATGAATAATAAGCGTGATATTTGGTCATACAATGAAACTTTAACATTAATTCACTTAAATTATATTTCCAATGGAAACAGTACACCAAGTTTGATCTATACCGTAGTGGAACCGAATTGAGGGTTTCGGTGGAAACTAGGTCATTGTAGAATAGGCTTAAGGCTTAAAGTAGGTGCAGCCGATTCGAGGTCATTCTCTCGTTGAACAGAGTACTTCATTTCGATAAATACATGCAAATAACAAGTTGACGAAACTTGGGACGCCTGATTATAACAGATGGCCGCACACGCGTCTCTTGTCCAAATGTTTTTGATAAATTTATTGTCATAAAAATGCGCTCAATTGGAATTTCCATATTTTTACTAATTCTCTATTAGTAATTCTCTATATTCAATTTTTATTATAAATGTTTTTTGCAATGAATATTTATAACGGTGAATGCAATAAAATAATCTATTCAACTGATCTATTCAAACTGATCAGAAATTAGGGATTGATCAGAAACTAGTTTTTGACGGTACTTGCCATTTTTTTATGTAAACTACATGTTGATTAGATTAGCTACACATTTCTGGATACAAGAACTTGGACAGAGTTCTAGCTTCGTGAATGGGCGTGGACACAGGACTTAAAGCCCAAACACATGAATGCGTTCGACAGACTCAACTGTTGCAAAACGGATCGTGAGCGCTCGTTGCTATTGGATGATCTAAAAGAATACACCAATAACAATGAACACTCACAGATCTGCTCCGCAACAGTTGAGTTTGCTGAACGCGATCGAATATGCACCCCCACCGGGACTACCGAGAGACTCCCGGCGGGAGTCCCCTCATTCATAATATAGTATGTAAACTGTTAGTGACAGTGAGAGGATAAAGATGCGTATTGGATAAGATTACGGATGTTATGTATAGCTTATCAGCATATTATAACTACTGAATTCTTTGAAGTATATATAAAATACGTGGCTTTCATAAAATCACGATAACTCATATGAATGTATTCTATATATCTCAACGTAAAACTTTCTCGCTAAAAGTGCTATCTAAGGAAATAATTTAAAAAAAAAAAGCATTAGTTTAATTATTTAGAGACAATTTTCATATTTTAATGTAAAATTTGTGGCCATTGGCAATAAATGCTCGCGATTCTTTTATTGATTGTGATTATGCATGTATTTGTGTGTAGAGTTAGAAAATATTTTAATATTCTTATTTTTTCTGTATTTGTAAAATTGTTTTTAGGTTTAATGCGATGCTTATTATATTTTTACAAATATATATTCATCATGCAGGAGAAAAATGAGCACGAGAATCTTATGTAAGAAAAATTTATATTAATTTATTTTTAATATTAAACATTAACTTTTAAATATAATGTAACATAACCATCAAAGATGATTTTACATTACTTGTAACGCTGTTACTTTTTTTGTAATAATTTGATAATGATATTACAATTTTTTATGTAGTAATATATGATATATCGTTATATATAGTAATTGATATATAACATATATAATGTAAATAGTTTGTAATATCTTTCATATTAATATTTCTTATTTCTTTATATAAAAGAAATATTTATTTATAATTTTAATTTATTAAGTTATTATACCATTAAATTTTGTTTTAGGATGTGTACAGGACCTTCATTAGCACAAATGTCATTATTACAAGAAATTAATTTTCCACGTGATTTAGAGCATGCATTAAAAATTTTATATCAAGGTCAAAGTCGCCATCACTGTTCAAATCAGTGTAATAATTATATAAGGTGCATTGAAAGTTTATCGAATGTACAAAGGATAACAGAGCTGAATTATTTGAGCATATTAAAAATATGCTTGTATCTAGAACAATTTGAACTAGACCTTGAAATGAAAAAGTACACATTGTTAAATTATGCAATTGGAAAATGTAATTCAGAAAACAAAATAATTATCAATATGGAATCTTTAAATATTGATCCTCCAAAATTAATCAGACCAGGTGATACTGCAATTTTTAGTGAAAGTACAAATAAAACTCGTACAAACAGAACAATTTGGACTAAAGTCCTAATAGTGGTAAAAAATAAAATCACAGTAAAGCTTTGTCATGGGTAAGTTTAATACTTTTTTATTATGATATGGATTAATCTTTTTACTTTGATATACATTTGTTCTTATTGTGATAAAATGGTTTTTTTTTGTTCTATATTTTTCTTTTATATTTTTATTCTCCAAGGAACACAAGATTACAATGTATTACCAAGTTACCTTGAATTTGTTTGGAATACTTATTTCTGTCACGATATATTCTTTTATTCAGAATTTCTTATATGAAAAGTGGCAAGACGGAAGAATCAAATTTAATCTCTTTCTTAACATGCAACTGCTTTAAAGCTATTTAACGTTTACATGTTTTAATATTTGAAAATACATTTAGTATTTATAACAATGTAGTATATTAGTACAATTATGATAAAAATTGAAGACATAATATTACATAATTAATTATATATATTTTTTAGAAAAACATCAAAAATCGAAAAAAAAAGATTTAATATTAGTTTCCAAAGCAGACATTGGCCATTAAGATGCTGTCATCATGCATTAACAATAATAAGTGAATGCAATTGGCATGAGATTATATATCCACAATTAAAGACAAATTGCACAGAAATAGAATTGTAAGTTTAAAAATTGAATGTTTTGTTATTTGAAACTATAATATTATCTCTATAATATTATCATGACTGTAAATATATGTTGTATAGTGACATTGAATGGATAAATACTAATATAAAGAAGAATGAACAACAAAAGCAAGCAGTGATGAAGATATTAAATAATACAGCACGACCTGCACCTTATATAATTTTTGGCCCCCCAGGTACCGGAAAGACAGCAACATTGGTTGAAGCTATATGTCAAGTAATTTCTTTGTTGGAGATACAACGTCTAATAAAAGATTTTTTTTTTATTTTTTCTCATTTTAATTCTTTGTTTAATAGATTGTGAGACAATATCCGACAAAAAATATATTGGTATGCACACTATCTAATGCAGCAGCTGATGAAATCACCAAAAGATTGATTAAAAGTATTCCAACAAACTTAATATATCGAATGTATGCCCCATCTAGAGAATGGTAAAAAATTTATTTTTGTATATTATATTTCTTGATTTCTTTCTTTTTTCTTTTGTTATGTACAGATTCCTAACATAAATAATATCGCACAAAAAATGTATATCTTTATAATAAAATATAATAAATATTATTATTTCTAATCAATTTCGTGTGTGCTCTTAATTACGGCATAAATTTTATAAAATATGATGAAAATCACATAAATATATAAACTGAATTTTATTTAATAAAAAATAGGTCATCTGTGGATAAAGAAATCCGACCATGTGCAAATTTTGTTCAAGACATTACAATTTTTTTATCAAAAGATATACTGTTGTTGAAAAAAATTATTATTTCAACATTATTATCATCTATAAGGTATACATTTGATATATTATTCGATATTCTTTTTATCTTTTGTGTATGTGTATATTATTTTATATATTAATCTAAATTTTTATTTCTAATAATTAAATTTATATTAAATTAAATTTTTTAGAAGATATATAGTATTCTATACTGTTTATTGTAGATTGATTGGTGAAAATTTCCGGAAAAATCATTTTTCTTATATAATTATTGACGAGGCAAGTCAAGCAATTGAACCAGATATGTTAATTCCTCTCGCAGTAACAAATCAAGCTGAAGATGAAGGGATTGGATTTCAACCACAAATTGTTATTGCAGGTGATCCTTATCAATTAGGACCTGTAATTCATAGCAAGAGAATTGAGCATCTGCTCGGTAAATTTTTTCCAAAATAATATTAAATGTTACATAATCTGTATTGCAATTTTTTTAACTATTTATTATCCTAACAGGAAGATCCATGTTAGAAAGATTAATGAATGATTGTGATCCATATAAAATACAGAAAAATGGAAAATATAATCCGAACTATATAACAAAATTAATTAAAAATTACCGAAGTCATGAAAGTCTTTTATATGTGTCGAATAAATTATTTTATAATGAATTGAAGTTCTGTGGAGGAGCTGATACGCAAATGGCACTGAACTGGTCGCAGTTGCCTAATAAAAAATTTCCTATGATATTTCAAGAAGTATTAGGCACAGAACAAAGATCTGAATCTCTAAGGTTGATACATTTAAGTATATCAATTTTATTGCAATTGCCTTAAACCAAGATTTAAGGTTTCTGAGTAGCTGCTGCGACCATGTTGGATTAATGTCCAGTGATGTCATAAACGAGAAATGACACATTGCAGTTTCTTACATGCAATTTGCAAATAAAGAGAATTCGGATAAAACAAAATAATAATATCGCTTTAAAACACTTATAAAAATGGAATAAAATCTTTTCTTTTTTGATAGTAAATAGATAGTCATAAACGACACATAAAGTGCGTTTACCAACGTTTAATTAATGCTTATTCGTAATCTATTTTCACTTTACATACTTTTTACGACTATTTTAGTTTTGTTTCAAAGCGATCTCATCATTTTTTTTTTACTCAAGCTCTTTATTTATAAATAGCGTCTAAGAAACATTTCATTCCTCATTTATGACGTCACGATTCAATATGACCGTAACGATTATTCAGAAGCCTTAATTCTTTATAATTAGGACATTCCTCTTAGTGTGCTTTCAAAATGCTTATTATTGAATTAATTATTAAATATTGTAGCTTGAATTTTTTGTTTACTTAAATCAATATCGGTTCTTCAGTTATTTTTTTTTTTTTAAATATTTGTTTAATCTAAAAAAAAGTTAATGTTTTATGTTTTTGACAAAAATAAAGAAAATATTTCTACTCCTAGTAGTGTGTCTCTCCAAAGAGCAATAGTCCTATTGATATGCATTTGACTCATTTTAACATATAGTTATTAAAACAGATAATAGATAAGCTAATTGTTTAAGATCATATTGCATAAACTATTATTTTAATTATGTTTACAATTTCAATGTACACTCGTCCACACAATGCTCCCAGCTCCAATACAGAGCACACTAATAGATACAGCCACAGTAATATGTACTAACAAAAAAAGTATATAAAATAACGGGCAAATGAGAGCAAAAATAAACGTAATTGTCTATACATATAGGATAAAGTATACAGTGATTAATCATTTGTTATAAATTTGCTTACATATTAAAACCCAAGTCAAATTAACAACTAATTTCACAACATAGTAATAACTGATCTTTACTAACTTCATATATGAATAAAATATTCATAGTCCGTTTTTTGTAAGATAGACTTATATAAGACCCGAGCAGATGAAAATTTGTAAATATTAATGAAAATCTTTTTAAAAATTTTTAACATTAAATTGATCTTTTCATTTTCTGAATTTTTTTTCTTTATTTTGATGGTTTTCATAATAATAGTCAATGTCTGTCATCAATAACTATCACTGTGATCGATAACTATCATTTTCTGAGTAAAAGTTTCTACTATTGGAAAAAATGAAAAACATGGTTTTATTCAAAGTTTTTTGTATTTGAACATATTCTTTGAACCTTACTTAATGTTCATTTTGCATCAGATTCAAATTTCAAATAATTTCAATGATTACAGTAATTATATTAAATTTCAGTACTTAGTCAATCACTGTACACTTTACCCTACATAAAATGTGTATTTTACTAGTCCGATTTAAGTAATAATTTTTGTATCTAAATACTTAATCTGTTTATTTTTACTGTTTATTTTACTGTCTATTTTTACTCTCATTTGCCCGTTACTTTTTTTGTTATTATTTATCATTTTCAGAACTCAGTTTTATATAATTTATTTTTTTATAATATGTACTATTATTCTAGTTCATCTGAAAAATTTTAAATAGGCTATATCGAAAAGACCAAATGTGTAATTTTTTTCGGTACATTGTTATGTAAACATAAACGTAACATATTTGCAGTGTGTATAACACAGCCGAAGTATTAGCGGTATTGGTATACGTAGAGATACTGATGAATACAAAATTTAAGAAACATGCGATAACACCAAAAGATATTGGAATCATAACGCCTTTTACACGACAAGAGCTGAACATTAAACATCACTTAGCAGCTATGAATTTGAAAGATATAACTGTGGGAACAGTTGAAACATTTCAGGGACAAGAACGAAATGTGATAATATTGTCGACGGTACGATCTATAATCTTCAAACACAATAATAAAGAGCACATTGGTTTCTTATCCAATCCAAAGGTATGTTATTCTACATGTACTAAGTATGAGCACTAATAGTAGTTGTAATTTATACAATTAAATAATAATAGTAATAAAAAGATGAGTGGGGTCAGACTTGGGATCTGCCAACAATGAGTCAATTGTTGGCTTACATAAAACCACACATCAACTTGAATTTTATAAAATTATAAATTTTATAAAAATTATATATTATGTTCTACATATATTGTATATACATTATAAAAAGTTATATATGTATATTCTTTACAGAGATTTAATGTTGCTTTAACACGTGCAAAAGCACTTACTATAATAATAGGAAATCCAAATATACTATGCACAAATAAACACTGGAATTTTTTGTGGAATTATTGTAAAGAGCACAACGGATATGTTTCCTTCAAACAGTTGCCGTTAAAAAAGAATAGCAAAGTAGCAAAATTAATGGGCAATCTTCAAACTCATTCATGTACTGATAGAGGTATATCAAATGCAACAAACTTATCTGTTACCGACAAGGAAAAGGAAAAAAGAAAAACATAAGCGTTATTCGATGTACTTGTACATAAAATGGAAAACTTGACTTTAACAGTCGATTCAAAATAACGAAATAATGATTGATATAGATTTTTAGAGGGCATTACTTCCACATTTCGAATGCAAAATGTATATTGTACACTTATGTAATATACTATTTTGTTAATACAGAATAGACCAAAGGAACGGGAAAATTTAAAAGGCTAAAAGAAAAATTTAGAAACTTTATTCAATTAATTTTAATTAAATCAAATGGAGCATAGTATATCATTTAAAAATCACTTTATTAAGTACCTCAATATGAGTCGCGTCTGATGAACGCGAGTTGATGGGTTACGGTTAGTATTGATAGAATTAAATAGATATCATTGTGCAGTTAATGCTATTTAGTAAACATGAAGCACTGGAGTAATGAACAATATACATTTGCTGTAAAATCGTATTATAAAAATAGACACTCAAGCTGTTTGTAAAGAGTTTCGATGCCATTTTCATCTTCACTGTCACGATTTTCAGCCAATTATATGAACAGCTTGGATGCAGTCATTTTTATAGTACGATTAAAAATGCTTACTGTTTACCATTCCAATACTTCATGCTCACCAAATAGCATCAACGAGAGACTGCACAATGTATATTCAATCCTATAATACAATTCGTAAATATTGCATACTCGCTAATACTGCACAGAACATTTTTCGTTTTTTTGTGTGGGCCACCCTATACTTTAATTTTATCTCACTTCTTTAAATTATTCGAAGAGACTTATAACAAATTCGGTTGAATGCAATTAGTGCGTTTAACTGAAATCATTATTCACTATTAACAAAAAAAGGAACCCAAGTATCCTCTGATTTTTATGATCTTAATATGTTGTTTTGACGAAAATAAAGGGTACGTATCTTTTTATACATGCCCTATCACACTTTTAAGGAGTAAAATTTCCTTAGAAAAAAAATTTGTTTTTTTCTTCGAATATTGAAAATACATATGAGAAAAAAAAAATATATATATATAACAATTTTTTTTAATTTTGTTAATCTTTATTTTTTATAAATTAAATTTTTATAAACAAAAAATTATTTATTTAAATAAAAATGTTTGAGTTATCACATAAAGTACTCTCAATTTTTATTTCGAACTTTTTTTATGTCACAGTTTCAGCAATATTTGTTATGAGAGAGAAGGAAAAAAACTGATTTTTTTCTAAACGACGTTTTACCTTTTAAAAAATGCAATAGAGTATATATATAAATATACATATCCTTTATTTTCATCTAACATCAAAACAACAAATTAAAAGCTCATCAAACTCATGGAAAGTCTTTGTAAATGTAAGTGTCATTGTTATTGTTTTTTAAGTTACTAAAGAATGACGATATTAATATTAAAAATAACAGTTTTTACCAACAAATTGAAGTTATTTTATAAAACAGTTAAATATCATTATTTTTAATTACTTGACAGTGTCAATATTTAGTATTAAATGCAAGTTAGTTATTATCATTGTCTTTTAATAATTGAAAATATTGAAAAACGTTAGTATTATGAAGTATTAACATAATGACTTAAATGTATGTCTCCGATATACATATTTGTTTTATAAGTTAGTTACAATGATACGGTCCATTTAGTGTCACAAATGCTTCGAAGCATTTGTAGCATTAAGTGGGGATCGTAATCATACATTTAAATAAAATATTTTCTTTAAAATAAACATTTTCGGAGGCATTATGAGTGTGCTTATATCATAAAATATTTGTATGAGTATAGGATCAATAATTGTTATACCATAATAATAATAATAGAGTTTTATATATGATTTTTTTATATATCTTTGCATTGATTAGGTTAACTGAATTATGTAAAAAATTCTTGATTTTTTAAATCATAAACATGTTTATTATTGTAACTATAAATTGTTAAATAGTTTTAATATATAAAAAATTTTAGGTAAGCAAGTTTTAAAAGAAAGTTTGTATTGTGATATAGGCGTTTTAAATAAATAAACACATGTACCAATCGATTAAAATAAAGACAAAATTTTTTGTAAAAAACTATTTATTTTTTCACATGGCAATGATTCAAAGACATGTATCCATTTGTTACTGTTCATCGGCAGGGTATTGTACATTTCGCTCTAAAAAAAGGCCTATTTTATTCGAGTAAGAGTTTAGCCTCATTTCCATTAATTTTCTTATCAATATCGTGCTGAATTGCGAACTCGTATTTTACACTGGCGAATAAGATGTCCGTGAGAAGGAAGATTTGTGCTATAGCAAATGCCAGTGTTACTCCAAAGTAAAAATTGGCGTTCGCCGATCTGGAATAAATCCACTGATGCCACACAGTTGGGGCAAAGACAGTGCAAAACAGTAAAAAACAACCTACAATGAATCCTTGTTGCATATCTAGAAAAAAAAATATATTAGAATAATTCGTACTGTTCTTAATAATACAATTAAAATACCGCTAATTAAACTCACGATGAAACAAGTGTTTCCACAGTGGCAGTAGAGATATATAAAAGCCGACGTCTCCGATGCACGGATAGGATTTGAATATGGCAGCTATCGCTAGATAGGAAAATGCCAGTAACATTGGATCACGTCGCAATCGTAGCGCTAAAGGGACTATATACAATAAACTGACGTTTATTTGAAAAGACGCGATAAAAAGCCATCTGAAATGCTCAAACATTTCCGTAAAGAAGTACCAATACAGTCCGATATTTGGACGTAAGTCTGGAACAGTTAGAATAAAACCGATGGTACTCCACAAGAACGACCAGCTTCCCATGATGCAGTAAGAAACTGCGAATAGAATCGCCAGAATACTCGTAAATACGATTAACATCGTAACTATACTGATTTTTCTGTTCTTTGCCGTAGTGGCAACGTAAATAGTTGCCGGTACCATAAGCGACATAGGATAGAGTCCTTGCAATGTCAATAACGCTATCGATGCACAACTCCAAAGCACAGAGCGTCTTATCATTGACAGCAGCGCGATTGAATAGAGTAAATTGGTAAAAACCGTAGTTGTTAGGCCAATGCAATTTAGTATTATATATGGATTAAACAAATAAGCTGCGGAAACGTATAGAGCAGACGTGTTGAGAATGTCTTTAGACTCTTTATCCTCATCCTCTTCTTTCCTTTTCGTTGCCTGCAATTTAAGTCGAAATAAGTATTATACACTTTTATTAAGATTTTAAAATAAATTTAAATTTGAATATTGTGTACCAACCAACTCAATTGCATAATGTTTTGCTGCAAGAGCTAGGCACAGGGCAGTCGTTAAATCGACGACAACAAACAACAGAAATAATGCCCACTGAGGTAAGTACTCCTGCATGAGAGTAAACACGTACAAGCCGATTGGAGTCTCGTGAAATAGATCTCCCTCGTATGGATTTATGCCAAACTTATGCAAGTAAACCCCTTCAGTTACTGGAAAAGAACACATTAAGTCTTATGAAATCGATTTGTTCCTATCAAAACTATAAAGCTGATATCAAAACACAAACTACTGTAAAACCCACTTAATGTATGTTGACTAAATAGGACTAATTAATTTCAAAGATTCAAATACAAATAATATACAACTCGTATAAAACAGAATTAATAATAATAATTCAAACATGCAGATATAACATAAAGAAAATTGAATTATTTGATATTTGTATAAAACAGTAATTACTATAATAATGGATTCAATTGAAGAACTAGTAGTGATAATTCAAATATATTTTTTATTATCTTATTATTTTTATGTATTTTTATATATTTAAATATTTTAATTATCTATTAACATTTTACTTCACAAAGAAAATTGAATTATTTTTACTCATCAGAATATTTGTTACCCAAATGATTACCGCATACCTAGTGGGTCCAATAGACCCACGTAAGTTCCAAAGGGTTAAATAGTAGAAAGAAGATATCGATAGTTCTGAGGTGTAGTCAATATTTTAATTAAAATAAAAGGGCTCTCGAATACAATCGCAAACAAAATTGTGCGCTCTTAAAACGGGAGAATGTATGAAAGTAGGATTCGACTAACCTCTCTTCCAGGAGTTCAAGGCGGTCGACACCTCGACACGGTTGCCGATGATCTTCTGGTACTGGGAGTTCATTATCAGCAATCTGATGGTACCGGCCAGTGCGAAATTCGACAACCACTTTCTCGACATGATTTCTTACCTTCCTCTTTCCACTACCACAATCGATTCATTTGTCCCGCTCGCGGACGTAACCTCTCGTGACACCGGCGTCCAGGATATTCACCGACGAGAACGACGGAGCACCGTTATTGATAAACTGACACTCCCGCGGATCGTCTATGCCGACTCGGTCGTCATTTAATCCGTACGATACGCATCTACTTAAACTATCGCGTAAGGATCATATTGTAAACGTAAAGAGATCGAAGAGATCAAGACGCTGCGCTGCGCAGCGCCGTCCACTGCATTCACATATCGATGATCTGACACTCCCAAATATCCTGATATGCATGCTGGACTTGTATATATCCCACATACATCATCAGAATGTTTATTTTACGATAATTAGAAGTTTTTTCGCTTGAAACAGAAAGTATTTCTCTAGACTCAAAATTATACTTAATCTAATCACATACAGCACGAAGAAAATTTCCAACAGTTGCAAAATAAAGATTCTGCGGAATGCAGCCAATTTAACTTCGCATTTGTTCATGATTATGCTAAAAGAATTGTCGCGATTTCAATGGAAATTTAATTTATTTATTTTAGATGTACATACGAAGTACTTTAATATTTACATTGTCAATTGCTACATTATTATTCTTAATAATAAATGTCACAAAAACATATCGAGATCGATGAGAGAGGTGTATTGATGCAGGACTTGCCCTAAACTAAGAATAAGACACGTGTGCATACACTAACAAATTTAAATAAAACACTAATAAATATTGATACTTTTATAATATCCATCAGCAATTGATATATCATAAAAATAAAACTAATTGTCACTCATCAGTTCAATCATTGTGACATTTAATTTTTAAGGTAAATTATTACGCAATTTTATTAAAATAAATAAATAACAAAAAAGGTATGGCAAAACTGCAAAAAATGTGGAACGCTTCACGATTTTGCGTGTCATCCTTGCGCAGGGGCCATGCTAATCTTCTCTGTATCGTTCCAATTTTAGTATATGTACTGCCGAAGCAAGTACAAGACCTACCTTTTACGATGTTGCTTATATACTGAATGGTACGTTCATGTGCACTAACGAGAAATAGAGTCATAAGTTTTCGCCATCTATCGGCACAACTAGACACTATGCGACGTAACCTCGAAAACATATAAGAGACAGAGGATAAACGATAATTTTATAAATAAAAATTGCAGATTATTTAATGATAAATTAAACATAAAAGAATTTTTGTGGTAAGAATTAATGCGATGTTTTGGTGACGTTGTAACAATTAAATCTCGGTAAAGTACTTCTATGTTTGAAAACATTCCATTGAAATAAGTCAAATACATTTGAATTAGGAATATGCATTTTACATTAAAATATAAATAATAATCTATGTATACAATGTAAACTGTATTTTACATGTCTTCATAAACAATTCATGCATGAGATTTTTATTGTTACATTATACTGTACTAAAACTTTTATCTCGAGAGATTATATATTTTCATTTTTATTAATATTAAACCTAAAATCAAATATATTAACAATCATGAAACATAATTACTTCTTTGTGTATTGTTATCTAGTTTATAATAATTTATTACGTTACTTGTATTGTCTATATAAAAAAATTTGTATAAACTTAACTTAAACAGTATGTAAAAATTTTATGTAAGTGTAATCTTGAAATATGTGGCATAATCCCGATTCGAATGATTAGCGCCAAAGCTTCCGTTTGCTTTAAATTAAATCATGTATTTCAATGTATTTTTTACTCATAGATCCATTGAGAGTCATGCAATTGAAAGGATGGAGGTATGGTGTATTTGTTGGAGGTTTCATCGGACTTTTTGGTATATGCTGTTACGCCACGATGATAGGACCCATGTTGAATCCTGAACCATACAGTATATTATCTGTTTACCTTTATATTATTAATAAACAACTGAATATATCATGCATAGTTAATTATTTTGTTTAATTTTTTTCAGAAAGAATTCGAGAACGAGCCTTTACAGATAAACCTTCATAATTTAAGTTTGTAAAATTTATTTGAAAATTCCTGTAAAATTATTAGACATGTTAGTTACATGTGTGTTGTGATGTTATATAAAATCCTTTTCATATTCCTAAAAAATTTATAAAGGATAGGTAATATAGATATAAAATTAAATAGATTGTTATACAAAATATGTAATATAAATATCTGTTCATATTTATTAAAACTGTATAATTATAGAAAGCACATAAGTCATAAATAAAGATTGTACTCAGAGACTCCAGTACTTGGATACTGACTTTCTCATGACTTATGTGATTTTTCATGTAATCAGTGATTCGATTACCTGTACACTTATATCACATATAAGAAATTTCGTTCGTAAACCGACTAGAAATTTCATTGCATTATATATCCTTGTAACTATATACACACGCATACATAATAGGCCTTATTAAAAATCATCGTCATCACACACGTCGAGGAAGACGTCGAACGCTTGTCGATTGCAATTGCCTTCTGCGGTGAAGACGTATTTGTGAAACGTTCCGTCCATACATACAGCTAAAATTACAAAAAAATAAAAATATGAAGGAAGAAGTGGAGTGCATCAGCGATTTTTCGTAAAATAAATACAATACCTATCACAGAATTGTGTGTGCCAAACGCACAAACACAAGCGCATTCTGGAGGTACTGTGAAGGTAGCCAATGCCCATTGACTCTCGACGTAATTGCCCAAGAAACCCATATTTGAAAAGCTAAAAATGAGATAATATATGAACAGATGTTTGGTTTCGTTAAACAGAAAAAGTAGCATTATAATAACTGTTGTAAAGTCATGATCAAACTCAAAGAGACTGAGATTAGTTTGAAATTTAACTAATTCAAGCAAAGTTCTCCTAACTTGAAATCGATTTTCTCTTTTTTATGATTAATTAAATTCTAATTTAATTTCAATCTCTAGGCTGATTACGACTTAAGAATTCTTTAATACAATTGCATTTAATTCTCCATAAATCTATGAACTAATCGTGTTAAAGAACGATCTTAAAATAGTTACAAAGCTGAGTTTTCTTCTGAAAATGCAGCCTATGTTTAAAAAACGATTAATCCACATACGTAGATCGTCGATTCAAACTGGTATTTTTCAAGGCAAATATATGCACTGTTCCTTTATCGCTCGAAACGCACAAGAATTCCGAATCTCTGCTGAATGTTATGCTTAAAAAATATAAGAAACATTAAAAAGCTGGAAAAAAAATTTGAATTGCACTATGTGCAGTAACATTAGATATTAATCTTATATACTAACCAATAGAGAGTAGCAGGATCAGCACCACGTCTCAATTCAACCAATAAACTCCTACGTACAGAATCCCAAACTCTAATTAAAGTACCCTGAACAGACGCAGTCGCAATCATGGTCCCATTTCCATTAACTGCCAGACACGCCAATGCACCCTGTTGTTATTCCAAAATATATATATATATATGATAATGATAAATATGTAATAATAAAACATTGCTCTCTTTATTAACTACTAAAGTAAAAATTAGGATATTGGATAGTTTAGTACTTTAGCAATTACTTAGCAAACAAAAAATTTAGTCTTAATGCCATGACATAAAAAATATAAAGAATTTTAAAAAAGAAATACTAAAAAATTCAACAGTCTAGATTTGTATTACATTAAAGAAAAAAAAATCCAAGTAGCAAAAAGAAATTAAAATACCTGATGTGCTGAAAGAGTAACAGGTGCACTAGAACTACCAGTCTCGGTAGCTCCAAGATCGACCAATTGCACACTGCCGAGTTTGTGGCCAGGAAAGGCCAACAATTGCCTTTGCGCTGTCGCAAACGTCGCTATTTCTACCAAGCCTGTTGGATTGTCCCTAGTTTCAAGTGTCAACAACCTTCGAACAGGCGTAGGAAACGAAAAGACGTGTATCTCTCGCTGAAGCGCCACTATCATTCTACAATATAATATATTTCTATAGATATCTGATACACAAAAATTTACATTGAGAGAACAAAAGAGAATTCCATACTTGTCCCTTCGCAATCTGACCGCTTTAATGAGACTGGTAAAAGTAACTTCCATGACAAACTTCTTCAACAGATCGTCATAAATCAGAACAGTGTTATCAGCAAATTTAGCACGATTTCCACCGCCTACCACGGCAATCACGTTTGTTCTCCAAAGCATCTCTGCCATGGAAATGCTTCCCATTAAATCATTATCAAAATGCGCCTTCTCAACCAATGGATCGACATTATAGATTCTCAGTCCTGATTCCATGCAACATGTAAAACAACCTGGAAAACAGAAGTTGTTTCATTGTTCAATGTCATAAATATGATAATCAGAAAGAAATGATAATAAGTAGCTTTGGAAAGTATTAAAGAAAAGTAAGAATATAGTTAAACTAATCAAAAAGGAACAAGATAGGAATCATATTCAATTATATGAAAAAGTTGGAAAAATATAGACAAGTTTGCTCCCGCCGTTTTTACAGGTATAAAACTATCTATATGAAAACGGTGGGAGCAAACTTGTAGATAATAAAAGAGAAAATAATAAAATTTAAACCGCAAGAAATGCATAAGAAAGATTATATTTAGACATCACATAACAATCTTAAGAAGATTAAAAGATACGCAAATCCCATCAACTGCGGTAGAAGTAACTCCAAAAAAGCTCAGTGCCAATGAAAAAAGAATATATTTCTTATGTGGGACAAACAGGAAGGAAACTAAAAACACGAATTGCAGAACACCGTAATCACATTAGATGGAATACGAGCTCTAAATCGGTGATAACAGATCACAGATTGGAACAAGGACATGAGTTCGATTGGAATAATGTACAAATTTTAGATGAAGAACCGTGTTATGGGAAACGTATTGTCGCAGAGATGCTCAACATTAAAAAACAGCAAAACAGTCTTAACCTACAAACGGACACATTAGATCTGCATGAAGCATATATTCCTATTATAAACAAGATATGACTTTGCATTACCAAAATCTTAAACATTATAGTTTTGTACGTCGAGTTAGTTGGACGGTTATAAAAGTTTTATATTTGGAACGACTTATATTTGTAATGTGTTAACGAAATAACGATTTTGATTGTCACCGAATTTTAATAAATGACTCTTTTAACGACATGGATTACTTGAGGGTGAGTTTTTTGTCAGAGGGACAATTGCTTGTCACATTGTTTTATTAATATAACGTTAATTTTGTGTCCTTATTAGTACCACAGGGATACATCACAAACGATCTTCCAATCGCTTGATGAGCTAAATTGTTCTCTCGGTGAAATACTCAACGTTTTAGAACATAACAATCTATCATAGTAATTTTCTTGTTTTTTCTGCGTTAACTAAAGATGTTTTACTGCGTTAATTAATATTTATATGTTCATCTGAGGATGGCTCGAATATGCAGCCGAAACGTTATGATTTGACTTATGTTTGCGTGCGCTTTTAAAGTGTGAATTTATTGATATTTTATTTTAATTTATAATATATTAAATGTTTTATTAGTTCACACAATTAATATTGACTCTTAATTGCCTTTTTATTTCATTGACAATTTTCAATACTAAGAGTCCTGTATATTCGTTTTATATTAGAATATATTTCGTAGTTCAAACTGCAGATTAAAGTTTATACCTTGATCTTGATTAAATCTTAGGCTATGAATGCCCCTCGCAGCCATCGTGACTCGCAGTTGGTCAACAAAGAGTCGGCGATAATAATAGAAGCAATCTTTTTAACGGAATTCGGAAGTCTCTTTTTCTTCAGAGAAAATGAATTTTTAGCAACAGTTCAAATTTCGAGTCCATGATGACACAATCAATCTGTATGCATGCATGCCGTAAATAATTTTATTCGAAATTCTATTATTTATTACAATTACTCCTTATATGAATACTATTATTTACAGTCAACAAGTGCCTTCTTACACCAGCGAGCATATGATGCACAGAAGGAGAACCGAGGAACATTCACTATTCAATTACGGGATTCTCTAATCTTAGGGTGCGTTCCGAGTCGCGCATGAAGCGCGTGGACTGCAATACTGATGCACAACACTTTGAAATTGTTCCGTTTTTTCAATGCGCGCCTAACACGCATGAAGCGCTTATGAATTCGGACCGGTTTCCTGTGCGAGCTATGCGAGTTCAAGATGGACGCTATACAAGACGTCAATAAACAATTTCTAATAATTGTAACTTTAATACTTTTAAAGAAAAATGATGAAAGTTCCGATGACAGTTCCGACTCGAGCGATAGTGAAAATAAAGTCGAAGGCATATCTCTAAGTGATACGCAGAAAATATTTTTTCTATTAATAGTAGATAAATCACGTGGAAAACAAATTGGAGTTGAAAAAATTATTGATTACGTCGATCGCGTAATTCCTAATTAATATAACGTCTAATCTATACATTAAATAAATCAAGGTAAAATAATATGCCATTAATTTTGATGAAAGTATTCAACATAAATTAAAAGGGCGAAGTAAAAGTCAGAAGTAAATTACATTTAAAATAATTTAAAAATGTTAACATATTTACAATAGAAATATTACAAAAAATTGCTTAAAATTAAAAACATTATGCCCGTTACTTAAAATTAAAAACATGCTGCGCGTAACAATTGTTAAAATTAAAAACATGCTGCGCGTAACAATTGTTAAGCAATTTTTGTAATATTTCTATTGTAAATATGTTAACATTTTAATATTATTTTAAATGTAATTTACTTCTGACTCTTACTTCGCCCTTTTAATTTTTGTTGAATAATGCCATTAATTTTATCTTGGCTTACTTTCGCCATATCCTCTTCATTTAAAAATAAAATTAATACTTTATTTTTATCCTCTAATAAGACCGGGAAATCATGCAATTGCTGTAATCGCTGTTCCATCGCAAATCGCAAATATTCGTCCGTTCATTGTTGTATTGTCCGGTACTCGTTGCTCGTTCCGAATTACAAATCATGCGCATAGACCGCATAAACGCATCAGACGCATCAACTGCCTCAGGTCGAAAGAGAAGCAGTCAATACGCTGAGTGGAGTGCTGAGAATTCAGTACGGTTAGTACAATCTGGGGAATTCAAGTACTCTCGAAGCGCTTTCGAAGCGCGCAATAGTTAATTCGGAACGACTTTCTATGCAGTCTACGCGCTTCATGCGTAATTCGGAACGCACCCTTAAAGGTGCCATTTCACGCAGCATCAAAACGCCAGTGGCTCTCCCCACTCTGATCCCCTATGAGCCGTTGTCGCTTTGCCGCTTGAAGTTCGATCAAGCCGAACTTCAAGCGGCAAAACGACGACAGCTCGTCTGGACACGTGAAGTCCGCCATTATTCGTCGAAATTGTGCGAGAGAGAAAAAATCATGCTATCTCATTCTAGTGGCGCTGTAAGTTGTAGCTGATTGTAGCTCTACAAACTTCATAGTTTCTGTTTCTGTTTCGTCTCGCCTCATGCATCGTATCATTTTTAAGACCAGGACCATTAATATTCGAAGAAGAAGAAGAATC